ACTTATGTACATGTGATTTCTCAGGTTTTTTTTATTTGTAATAAATCTGCAACAATTTAAAAAAATCTTTTTTTTTCACAATGTCAGTATGAGGTATTGTGTGTAGAATTTTGAGGAAATAAATAAATTTAATCCCATTTGGAATAAGGCTGTAACAAAAAAAAAAAGTGGAAAAAGTGGAGTGCTATGAATACTTTTCGGATGCACTGCATGTTATTTGAAATAGCTCCTGCAGAACAGTACTAAATCAAATATAACATACAATACTTATGCTTCTGTCACTATTTCAATTTGCTATATTCTGCAAGGGGTTCTTAAACTTTTGATCAGAAGCTTCGAATGCTTTTGCAGAGTATCAAATTCAGAGAATCACTAATTGCAGTTTAAATACATTGGCAGCTATACATTAAACTAATGTTAAAATTAAACAAAATTTTATTAAAATAGATAAAAAAGCTAAAAAATATATATTTATTTAGTTTATATTTTATATTAAGTTTTTATTAAGTGGCCTTAACTAATATGTATTTACACATGAATTAATAGTTTGTTACAATGTACTTAATGTGTAAATGTACATGTATTTATTATGTACTCATGCTTGCTTAAAAACCTGTGTGTAATTACATCTGTATTTAACTTCTGTAATTACATTTGTAAATGCACTGCTGACCCTTCCTTACACCTTAACCCGCCCTTAATCCTACCCACACCACCAAACCTGTCCATAACCCAACCCCTATCCCAACTCGAGAGCACCACAAGTGTTCTCAAATACATTATGAACACAGTAAGTACATTGTATTTATTTTTTGATGCAAGTACATAGTAGTTAAGGACACTTAATATAAAGTGGGACCATTTATTTTATTAATTATAATTTGATTACCACCCATTTTAAAATATAACTGTAAGATATTGAAATATAGTTACTCATATTTTGTTTACACTAAAATGGGAGTTTGTTAGGAGCTCCCCAGGGTCAATATACATGACTTGTACCAATACCAAACATTGATTTCAATGTTGCCAGCAGCAAAAATCTCAACCCAAGCTCCTTCTGGAAACGTAGCCCCGCGGACGTTTCTGGAGACCGCGATTTACGTGGCCGGAGGTACGTAAAGGCCGCGTTTGGTTTTTTCGAGCGAACGCTGTGGGGCGGTGTGTCACCGATTCTCCCCTTATCTTCGCGCTAGCTGGCCGACGGCTCGCCTCCGAGTGGAGGGCTTTCTCAATACAATCAGTTTGTCCGCTTAGCTCACAGCGTTGCGTCGGCAGAGCGGAGGCCCCGGACGAGGAGGAGGAGGAGCCGGCCGCAGTGGACGACGACCGGGATCGAGTCCGGGGAACAGCAGGTTCTGGAAATCAGGTAAGACGAAAAACGGAATCCGAAAAATAAGGGCGAGAACGCGGCGGGATCCGAAAATGCGTTCGAAATCGAAGACGAGGGCTTTTGCTTTTTTTTTTTTTTCTGGACGGCTTTTGTTAACCGTCGCTCGGGTTTAGGGAAGGAGGAAGAGGAGGGCGGCTGAGTCGGCCGATCCGGCGGCTTTTCGCGCGAGAACAGCACGGGCACAAACAGCGCGCGCTCCCGAGAGGCACCCGAGACGCGAAAAAGCGCGCACAGCGGCCTCTCGCGGATCCGCGAAAACAAAAACCGCTCGAATACGTACCTCCCAGGACGTAAATCGCGGTACGCAGAAACGTCTGCGGGGCTACGTTTCCACAATGAGCCCGGGTTGAAAAATCTTGGTCTGTGGACAATGAGAAACATGTATTATTATCTGATAAGTCCCTTACACTGCCTTTTCCAAATCCGGGAGAGTGATGGTGTGGAGAAGCTCCAGAGAATCATACAACCCAGACTGTTGCATGCCCAATGTAGCATGGGGGTGGATCAGTGATGGGTTGGGTTGCAATATCATGCCATTCCCTAGACCCAGCGCTTGTGCTAGATGCCAAGGACTACCGGTCTAGTCTTGAGGAGCATGTACACTCAAACATTGTATCCTGAAGGCAGCAATAATATCTGGATGCAGCCTTTATGATGCAAGCTGAGATTGCATTACTCAGCGATGCAATGTCAGACACAATGCACTCAATGGAGTGAGTGACATCACTGTGACGGGTAGGGTTAGGGGTGGGGTTAGGTGAGCGCAATAAAAAGCATTGGATGCAGCTCAGATTGCACTGCACCAGGTCTGCCTCCAGACCCCTCTCGAAGGCAGTGCCATGTATTAGGATGATAATGCACCAATACACACAGAAAGACTGGTAGTTTGATGAACATGAAAGGGAAGTTGAACATTTACAATGGCCAGCACAGTCACCAGGATTAAATGTTATTGAGCCATTTTGCTGTGTTTTGAAGGAGCGGTCAGTAAATGTTTTCCACAACCAGTTACGTAGTGACCTGGCTACTATTTTGCAAGAAGAATGGCTCAAAATCCATCTGGCCACTGCGCAGGACTTCTGTCTGTCAATCCCAACAAGAAGTGATACTGTATTGTTCACAAAAGGAGGTCCTACACTATACTAATGAACTGTTCATTCAAACCAGGCTTTCCTGGGGCACCGCAGCTCTGCACAATTTAGTTCTGACCCTAATTTAACACACTTGATCAAACCAACTGAGTCCTTCAAGTTTGTTGGAACCTTACAGGTAAGTGTATTGGAGCAGGGTCGAAGCTAAAGTGTGCAGGACTGCGGTCCTCCAGGAATTTGACCAGGTGTTTGACACCTCTGCCCTAAACTCTGTACATCATTACTTAAAAAATGCTATTAGAGAATGTATCACAGTAGATAATGTATCACAAATTATTTAACTAATATCAGTTACATTAGGTGCAATTACTTAATGTATGAATCATATTGATTGTTAATTAATGCATATTGTAAAGTGTTATCAAAACATACATAGTGTAGCAGACATGGAATGTAGTATTTTACATGGTACATATGAATTACGTTTGTTTTTCATTTCTAGAATTAAACAAAATGTTTATTAAATAAACCTGGTGTGTTTATCAGAGTGCCTGTATTCTCCTTTAAAGTTCTAAGAAAGCCCATGTTTCCATTTCTTGTTTAAGACCCTCCTGTTCCATTTTTGCACAGATTGCACATGAGATGGGAGAGAGGTGGTTTCTGCTAAGCTCTTATCAGTCTTATGTCATCTATACTTTAAAAAAAAAATCATTAAATAAAAATTATACTTTTATTTTGCAAATCAATTTAATTGTTTTTATGTTTTCACTTTAATTGAGGTTTTGGTGTATTTATGTGTTATTGGTGCATGTTGTGAGAGCTGAAATCATTGCAATTTTTATTTATCAGAAAATGCTAAAAGGTTACATGGTCACATTTTACAATAAGGTTCATTAGTTAATGTTAATTAATGCATTTACTAACATGAACAAACAATGAACAATAAATTTACTACTGTATTTGTTCATGTTAGTTAACGTTAGTTAATGAAAAAACAGTAGTTCATTGTTAGTTCATGTTAACTCATGGTGCATTAACTAATGTTAACAAGCATGGACTTGGATGTTAATTATGCATTAGTAAATGTTCAATTATGATTCATAAATGCTGTACATGTGTTGTTCATGATTAGTTCATGTTGATAAATGCATTAACTAATGAACCTTTTAGTAAAGTGTTACCGGCTACATACTGTAAAATCTATGCTTTGTGTTATCAGGTTTTGTCAGTCATTGTTAAATTGATTTTGTTGTTTGAGTTTTATTCTTTGCTCTCTTCTTTCTCCTTTTTTGCAGTGATTGCAGTAAAATCTTTGTTTTTTGTTTTCAGATTAAAAAGTTAAAACAGCACAACTGATATCCTTTTGGTTATTGAGAAGATTTAAAGGACTGGAATTGAAAACCACTGCCCTAAGTGAACCTGCGTATATATGCTTTAGACCATGAGCTATTTAACTTTATTCATTTTTTTTTCCGGCTTAGTCTCTTTATAAATCTGGGGTCGCCACAGCGGAATGAACCGCCAACTTATCCAGCCTATGTTTTTACGCAGTGGATGCCCTTCCAGCTGCAACCTATTTCTGGGAAACATCCATACACACTCTGGATAATTTAGCCTAACCAATTCACCTGTACTGCATGTCTTCGGACTGTGGGGGAAATCGGAGCACCCGGAGGAAACCCACGTGAGCGCTGGAAGAAACATGCAAATTCCATACAGAAACATCAACTTACCCAGCCGAGGCTCGAACCAGTGACCTTCTTGCTGTGAGGCGATAGCACTACTGCACCACTGCGTCGCCCTATTGCACTTGGAATATAATTAAATCCTTTAATTACATTAGAAATAAAAAAGAGTCCAGATAGATTTTCATTTAGTTCTGCTACAACTATGAATCAGAGTTAAAAAAATAATTGAAGTGAAGAATCTAAGCAAACAACATGTCAAGAGAAAACACAAAGCAGACTGTCATTTTGTTACATTTCTTAAATAATTGCAAACAATATGGATTCTCAGATTATCGGACATATTTGTAGAGTGAATCTCTCTGTAGTGAGTGAGAACTACTGTGAAAATAGTAAGACACTGCTTTGTTTAGGCTTGGTATGTGTGTAGCACTAGTGCTGGCAGCCATTGACTTAAATTTTATGAATAGCAAGGATCAAATATTTTCAGCTTAAGACCTGCTTATTTAAATGTTTTACTTTAAATGTTTTACTTTAGAGGTCACCCTCATCCTGGATAGGCTAAGGATGGGTAAATTAACTGCAAAATTTCAGTGTAGACTGAACAAACGAGAGGGGTCTGCAAGCTGAAACTGCATGCACGCACAACTAACCCTTCCACTACCCTACCCTACACTAGCTCCATTGAGTACATTGTATCTGACATTGCATGTCTGAGATAAGCAATCTCATCTTGGAAATCCAAGTCTACATCTAGATACTATTGGAACAAACAGCACAGCATACCTGAAAGACAAACTGTTTAAATAACTCCCCCTCTACTCTTCATAATCATACATGTTTCTTTTTAATGTTTTTAAAACATCATGTATCAAACATCACTGTCAAATAAAGGTGTTTTTTTTTAACAATTTCCCAATCAACAGAGATTAAAGCAGCTCCTAAAGCAGATGCCCAAATTTCTGAATCTGCGTAGAGATGATCAACTGCTGTTTTCTTTCTTGTGCTTCAGGAAGATCTTCTGCTCCGGCTGGACAGAGGATTCTCTTCATAGGAAAAGCTTCCCTGTCGTACACCATCAGTCCATTTTGACCCTCGGGATTATCCTCGCACTGGATGGGAATCTGAAAGACCCATACAAGCATTTGTGGAGCTGTGTTGTCTATAATAATCTTCAAACTGTTCAAAATAAATAACTTAAATGTGTGTTTGAATGATTTACTCGAGCTTGACTTGGATTTTCATCAGCGATGTCTTCATCCAACCCGGAAGTGCGTTTGCAACAAGCGTTACCCTTTTTTTAAACATGAAAAACATTATTACTATCTTATTACAACTTTCATTTACATATTACCATCTTAAAGAGAAGCACAATTTAAAGTATATAGAAGTGCAATTTTGTGTACTAGCTAGATGTAGTATACGATAGCCAGAAGTTTCTAAAACACTAGCGCTAGCATTAGATTAGCTAGATTAGCCTCACCATTGTGTTTATCCTGTTCCAAAATTTGCCAAGTTGTCTAATAAAATTGTTAAATACAAAGATTTAATGAAGATTTTATGTTGAATCTGTGTTTTCTTTTGTTGACTGTCTTTCATTGATCGATCCTTCCGGGTTATTACGGCGCACGTGACTAAATGAGATCCAATAAACATCAAGCGTTTCTACATCTTATAGCACTAATATTTGCTAAAATAATAAAAGGAAAAACTTTACATTTACCTAAAAAGGGTAAACTAAATTGTGTGAGACTGATAATGGCAGCCAGAAGAGAGAACAATGTCAAATTTACTGCGTCACTTATGCACACTGTTACCAACAGCTCACATAAAGAGCAGCTACGTTTCATATAATTTTATGCTAAGATGATGTAATACAACGTATAGCTTTGTAATGTATATTTTTAAAAAATAAGACCTACATATTAAAAACTTTTTAAGAATTTAAGATGCTGGTGACTGTAATGTGTTATTACCAACATGTAAAAAGGGTCTATAGTATGTGAACGTAAAAAAAAAACTAAATCACAAATTGAGTTCAAACCTCTACATTTTAGCAAAAGAACTTGATGATTTAATATTTTTATCAACGACTGTATCAAACATCAGAAAGCAGCAAATGTGCACTGCATAAATGCGATGAAAAATAATGATTAAAAAACTATTAAAAAAAATATAATGATAACATAATTAAAATAAATAACAGAAAACCAATAAAAAAGTAACAAGCATTTTTGGGCTTACTGTATATTACAGTCAGAGTTTGATTGTATTACACTACGTCTAGTACAGGTTTGGTAAAACATCATCTCAATTAAATGAAACAGTCAAGCAGTCAAGAGTAACAATTAAAGTAATTATTGTGTTGAATGCTCATGCAGTTTTAATATTTTACTTAATTTTAAGAAGATCATCAAACATTTTCCCTTCAGGTACCTTATTAAGGGAAAACATCATTCACTATGAGATGGACATTAATATTTGGAACTATTAAATTCTCTTCCTGGTTTAAGGTTTACTGTCTATTTTAACAAGTTCACTCATTTTGTCTGAACAAATGCATGAACCAAAACCAAAGTTATTTAACATTTATGTGTTTTTTTTTTTCATAGAAACAATTTAATACTAATACTTCTGTTTGTTAATCATTGATACCGTCTGATTTTAAATCTCAGATCTCAGTTTATATGTTAGTTTGATTTAACTTTCAAGTAAAACACATTAAAAAACTTAAAATAACTTGCCTTCAAAAGTTGTTTATTCCTGTTGTCTCTTCTGGAGTTGAAAGTAGTAGTCAATGTGGTTTATTTTATTTTGAGTCCTTATATTCCATTTGTAAAAAAAAAATAATAATAATAATAATAAATTAAATAAAACCTTGTCCATAAAATGATCAAATCAGACAATTCAGAAACCTCTGACTGTTACTGGCGGAGTTGAATGTCACTAAATCTAATCAACAGTTTGCACGCAGAGGCGTGTATTTGCAGGAAACCAAACCTTCTCAGAACTAATTTATCTCCTGTCGATCAGATGATTCAACAGTGAAGATCATTATCTCCAAAGCACAAACATGAAAACTGAGCAGTCATCAAGTCCTTTTTCTGGTCCACAACCATTGTTTAATAAAAAAAAGTCAAACCACTTACAATAACTTAAATGTTTAATATTTGCATTAACCTTATTAAAAATCATGAAATTGAAAATGAATTGTTTTCTACTGCTTTATTGTTATGGCCTTCTTTAGACATCTACATCTAAAAATTGTGTTTTATTGAAACATGATGCAAAACTTACTTATTTTCTTACCTTATTTTACTTTTCATAATTCAATCAGGGTTTAGGGAAGAACTGACATACAAGGGTTGAACAATGATCATGTATTTAATAGCGAAACTATTAAGAACCGATACCTTCTGCCACCCATGTGTAACACATAGTCTGCAGGTGAAATTCCATTTGTCATTCTATTCCTTGGTGCCTAGAAGGTTGGAGATGTAAGAATTGAAATATTACAAATATTTTTGATGTCTTTGACAATTCAAAACCTGAGCTGAAAACAGAGACTGTTGACTCCACAACCCAGCAGGTGGGAATGCGGGAAAAACCAACTCCTGCTGCATTTGCATCTGAGTCTGCCGAAACTCGGCTTCATCCACCCCAACTCACACATATGGTCATTTCAATATTTGAATGCTCTAGATTAACCAAAGTGACTTTATCTATCATATTTGATATCATTTGAAATGTCTCAGTGCGATTGGTACAATGGTCTCATTCTCTCAGAAATAGACATAATCAAAACAATAAATATATAACTTCAGGCATCTTTTGAACCACTGTGAAGGGTGTGACTTTACCACAGGCAGCACTAAATGTGAATGCCTTTTGTTATGCATACACCCCTTTCCTTGAGGGAACTCTTGGATTACTTAAGGTAAGGTTTGAGAAAGGCTCAGGGCGATTCTGCTTACCCAGATCAGCCCGTAACTTGGAGCTTACGCTCCACGTTATGTACAATTTGAAGTCAGGTATGCATCTTTTCATCTTGGATTTATCTTTTATAATTTGATGTTTTGTATTGATCGTTTATGAATTGACTGAATGAATTGGCGTAATACACATTTACCTGACTAAGAAATTGTTATGTTTTGTTTTGAATTATTCAAACAGAGTTCGTGTTATTATCTCTAGTAGATTGTGGTAATTTCATAACACCACAACCCCCTGTACAGGTTAGTAGCGGACTAGAACATGGTAGACAGAGCATTGCGGCACGCTATATGATGTCTACAGAGCTCCAACTAACACATTGGCATTAATTCATGTATACTTAGACTGTAAAAGGATATCTAAGGGGATAGTCCTTCACCTGTTAAACTTATAATACTATTTAGATAGTATAGTGATTATTCAAAGTTACTAATAGTTTAAGTACGACTGGTCTGCTTAATTCTATAGTAATGATCATTATATGACTGAATAGCTCTGTTTGATTTAGGAGGTAGCAGATCTATGGGGACCGCATTAAAAATATCCTAATCTGGGTAAGTAGGGTTCTGCCGTTTTAGGATAGCGGTCAATTGCCACTGTTTAGTGACCAAGACTGACATGCTTGTGCTTAAGAAATTGTATACTCGGCCGGTACAAGATTCAGGATGTTATATGAATCCCAATGAACGAGAATAACATAAAATGATGAACCGAAGAGAATATTCAATCATAATCTAAACTAATGTGAATGGAAACAAAATAAACTTCTCAATGTTTTATAATTGGAGTCAGATAAAACGAGGGTAAATATATTAATATTCTAAACCACCTCATACTAAAATTGGAGTCAGATATGAGTTAAGTTTAATATAAATCAACATTGTGCACTGGAAAGACCGAACATGCAGTGAACCTTCATCCACCATTGGACACCGTCATTGGACCAACTGGCTGGACCCTACAGAGACAAAGACTCCTATGGGACATCGTATCTACTAAGACATTCCACAGAACTTCCCTGCTTGGTCTCCAAAGAACATTGCAGTTTAAAAAAAGGAGGAAGAGCCCCTCTTTTCCCTACCGATACCAAAACCTGATGCAATACTTCTAAAAATACATAAAAAATATAAAGAACAGCGAAGAAACAGATGCAGGATGTTCCTTATTTCTATTGAATTCACCTTATTTTAACATTCAATAACTTTGTTAACAAACAGAGCAGTTCTTTAGGTAGCTTGAACAATCAAGTAATAAATAACATCAATTCTTCATTTTGGACTTTAGTGCAACAGCAAAAATAAGAAAAATCTCATATAAAAACAAACAGCACCTCAACTTGAAATACCCGGCAGGCAATTCTAAGTTTACATATCTCACAGTTTGCTATGGCAATGTTGTCATCAACTTTATAATACCTTCAGACCGCAGACATATTCGCACTTTCAGCTTCAAGCTGCTTTGCTTTGCAATTTAACCAATAGCGTCTCTGTAACAAAGTGATGTCATGGGCTCAGGAATCAAAATGACAGGGCTCAGGAATCAAAACTCGAATACTAGACTTACTAGAAACACGGCGGCAGGAAAGACAAGGAAGACAAACGACGCGATGACAAACAGAGGTGGAATGGTTGTATAAATAGTCCAGATAATCAACGGTAAACAGACACAGCTGATGGCAGATCAGTATACGTGGACCGGGTGTAATGCGCGTGGTATGTATGGACTTGTAGTCTTTTGGGCCCTCAGGTGGTTACTGACTGTCGTGACAGATCAGGCCTGATTTCCGATCACGTGACATCCCTAAAATCCCAACCCAAGCTCATTCTGGAAACGTAACCCCGCGGACGTTTCTGGAGACCGCGATTTACGTGGCCGGAGGTACGTAAAGGCTGCGTTTGTTTTTTTTTCGAGCGAATGCCGCGGGGCGGTGTGGCGCCGCTCCGCCCCTCCTCTTCGCGCTCGCCGGCCGACGGCTCGCCTCCGAGTGGAGGGGTTTCCTGACGCAATCAGTTTGTCCGCCTAGCTCACAGCGTTGCGTCGGCGGAGCGGAGGACCCCGACGAGGAGGAGGAGCCGGCCGCGGTGGACAACGACCGGGATCGAGTCCGGGGAACAGCAGGTTCCGGAAATCAGGTGAGACGAAAAACGGAATCCGAAAAATGAGGGCGAGAACGTGGCGGGATCCGAAAACGCGGTCGAAATCGAAGACGAGGGCTTTTGCTTTTTTTTTTTTTTTCCTGATCCGGCGGCTTTTCGCGCAAGAACGGCGCGGGCGCAAACGCCGCGCGCTCCCGAGAGGCGCCCGCCCGAGACGCGAAAAAGCGCGCACAGCGGCCTCTAGCGGATCCGCGAAAACAAAAAAATGCTCGAATACGTACCTCCCAGGACGTAAATCGCGGTCCACAGAAACGGCCGCGGGGCTACGTTTCCACAATGAGCCCGGGTTGTAAAATCCATGATAGGCTGTGAGAAGATACATTTTTTTGAGTGTATATATTTTTGGTGTAATGTATTTTTCACTCCATCCCTTTAAATTACCTCATAGAAAGTCAGGAGAGGTATATTTTTAATACAGTTATTAAAAGAATTGCTGAAATATTAAGCTGGGTTTAGTAGACCAAGACAATAGACCACTTGCTTTTATTACTACTAGAGTTAAGTCACGTGGCCTACTGTAGGTTTATTATAATTTTTTATGTAAATTTCTATTTGTGTTCACAAATATTGTTAAACTTACATGTACTTGAAATGTGTAATATATTGTGATTTTTTATTTATTGATTTTTTCCAATAATGTAATCTGCCATAATTTTGTTTCGCCTTTTTTTTAAATTATTGTTTCTGTTTAAAAATTATAAAATTTGCATCATAAAATAACCCCAACAGTACTCAACCCCATGTACTGTTCAAGACTAATTTATAATATATTGTCTAATGTGTGTGAAGTACAGCTCAAGCCATGTGCAGAACTTTGGCATTCCACCTAATGAATTTAGCCTTACTCAAAGACAGTAAAACATTAGGTCCCACTTTATATTAAGTGTCCTTAACTACTATGTACTTACATAAAAAAATAAATACAATGTTCTTCCTGTGTTTATAATGTATTTGAGAACACTTGTGGTGCTTTTGAGTTGGGATAGAGGTTGGGTTATGGACAGGTTTGGTGTTGTGGGTAGGTTTAAGGGTGGGTTAAGGTGTAAGGGATGGTAAACAATGTATTTACAAATGTAACTACAAAAGTTAAATACAGATGTAATTACATATATGTATTTAATCAAACATAAGTACATAGTAAATACATGTATTTATACAATAAGTACAATGTAACAAACTATTAATTGCTGTGTAAGTACATATTAGTTAAGGCCACTTAATATAAAGTGGGACCAAACATGATTGCCTTTGCATCTTTACTGGCTTGCAGACAAATTTTATTGAATTGGAAATCTTTAAATCCACCTAAAGCATCAGACTGGCTTCAAGAACTGATGTTGTATCTACACTTGGAAAAAAAATCATGTTTGGCAACCCATATTATCACATTTCTCCACTATAAATGTACTTCCAGAAGAATAATGTGACTTATCTTGTAAGTAACTGTAATTTCTCTTTTTTCTATTCTCTCTCTTCCCAGACTCTCATACGTTAAATCCACTCATATTAAGTGATAGGACCAAAATGCAAAATTTTAAGTTATGTTCAGTCAACTTTACTTAATTGCTCAAGTAAAGACAACATTAGGGTTTACAGTGCAGACAAAGAAAAAATATAAAAAATATTTCAATTTATGGAACACATTCAGCATTTCAGGCAGAGTAGTGATTGAATATTCATGTGGTTCTAGTTAAACTGAAACTGAGATAAAACCCTAAGATAAGAGGTGCAGAGCTGCAGTATAAAACACGTTGGAGGGCTTGTTGATGTTGCCTCCCCAGATTGTTCTCATTGTTTATACCACATTGAATAGTCCTCTAGCTCATTCAAACATATGTCATGTGAAATAGCTCATGCAGAACAGTACTAAATCAAATTTAACATACATCTGGGAGAGTTATTGTGTGGAGAAGCCCCACAGCCTCGTACAACCCAGACTGTTGCATGCCCAGAGTGAAGCATGGCGTTGGATCAGAGATGGCTTGGGCTGCAACATCATGCCATTCCCTAGACCCAGTGCTTTTGCTGGATGGGCTAGTCACTGCCAAGAACTACCAATCAATTCTTGAGGACCATGCTGTACACTCAACTTGAAACTTGTATCCTAAAGGTGGTGCCATGTATCAGGATGATAATGCACCAATACACACAGCAAAACTGGGGAAAGAATTTAATGAACATGAAAGTTAAGTTGAACATGGCATGAACAGTCACCAGATCTAAATATTATTGGGCCACTTTAGTGTGTTTTGGAGGAGCGGGTAAGTAATTGTTTTCCTCAACCAGCATCACGTAGTGACCTGGCTACATGGCGCAAAATCCTTCTGGCCACTGTGCAGGACCTCTGCCTGTCAATCCCAAGATTAGTTTAGTTCCGACCCTAATTTAACACACTAGATCAAACTAAGTCCTTTAGGTTTGTTGGAAACTTACAGGTAAGTATATCAGAGCAAGGTTGAAACTAAAGTGTGCTGGATTGCGTTAGAACTGAGTTTGACACTGTAAGAATGGGATTTAAACCACAGCAGTTCGAACTGTTGTTCTACCGAGCGACTAAAAAGTTATCAGCATGATGTTAAAAACTGTACATTTCTAGTCAAACCATTCTTCTGCAATCTCATACCAAAAGCAGAAATAAGGGCAGTGTTAATAGCTATAAATGTGGGAGAGCACACAGAATATGGAATAATTAAATGTTGATGTTAAATCAAAAGTAATTCACAAATACTTGAAAATGAGATGATTTAATGAAAATAATTCTCTATAGTTACAACTAAATTAAGTACAAAATAACTATAAAATGATCAAATATGAAATGATAAAACATATGATATTAATTGTACCCAGCTTAAATGCAAAATTAAAGTTACCAGAGGTAGATGGAGAGACACAGGGGGAGGGAGAGAGAGACAAAGAGAGCAAGTAGGCCTCAAAGAGGCAGAGAAGATAGAATCCGAAGAGGAGAGGAGCAGAACAGGAAAAGACAGGCCAGGAAAAGAGAGGGCAGGAAAAGAGACAGAGCCAGAGTTTACCACCTATTTTGTATGTTTCTTGACCATGTGACTAAAGCCCAAATGCTGAGACATTCAAACTGACCAATCAACATATGACTACATCATAAAACCCCCAAAGTCCACACAACAGGCCCTGATCTTATCAGTATCTGCCTTTGGAGTCAGTATGGACCTTCTTGAGTCAAAAAGACATGTTTTGTCATATAAACAAATGCATATGATAATTTAGCCTCTTACAACACCTCTGCTCTAACCCTTGTACATCACTAGTTGCATCAAAAATGCTTTTAGGGAATGAATGGATCACAGATTATTGAATTAATACCAATTACATTAGTTGCAATTACTAAACGCAGTGGTGTACGCTGGCTTTCTTCTAGTGGTACGCAGAGGAATCAAAAATGTCATATGTACATGCTACATATATTTCAAAATGTATAAAAAATGATTTGTATATGAATATGATGACATATAGCCTATATTTATAAGGTCCAGGCAACATTTTCAGGTGTTGATGAATAGACTATTATATGTTAATACTTTACTATGAAGTACAGCACTTTTCTTTTTACTTTTTAAGAACAGTACCCTACCATTTTTAACTTTTAAAAGCACATTTTAATTTAAATGTTCACGTTTTTAGTTAGTTAGTTAGTTAGTTTGTTTGTTTGTTTTACAAATAAGCACAGTAGTGTCAGGGTTCTGCCACTCTGGTCTTGTAAATTCTTGTTTTGGTGGCAGAGCTCGGACACTACCCATGTCTGGTCCTGTTTCTGTCTCCGTGTGCGCGCGCCATCGTGGGTGTACGCAGAGTGTGCGCGCTCCTGCTTGACGCGGCCGCGCGCGCGTTCTGCGTCCCTCAGACACGTGCGCTCTTGTACTCGTGTTTGTGTTCATCTGTCAGCAGCGTGGTGTTTCATTCCCAGCGTCTCAGTCTTGTTGGTTTCGGTTTTGGTCGGCGCTGGGATGAAGCATGCACGCTGCGTGTGTGAGCGCACGGTGAGTGTTTTCATTCATCGAGTGCTCGTGTCTTGCATCTTTTGTCAAAGCACGTGGCTCGGTGTTTACATTGTGGTCACATGCTTTTGTCGTGTGCTTCAGTGTTGTGTTATGTGAGCGCATGGCTTGTATTGTCTCTCTGTGTCATGCGCTCTTCCGTCTATTGTCTAGTCCCACCCTCCTTGTTTACTCATTATTAGTTTGTCATGTTCACCTGTGTCAATTTACTTTTTGCTTTATAACCCCCCCTCATGTTTTCCTCATGTCCTTTGCCAGTTTGTCGTCGATAGTTTCCTGTCCTGTTGTGTCCAGCCCTGTCTTGTCCAGCCAGTCAAGTTTGTTTGTTCGTTTATTTGTTTTATTAGAGTTTTTCCCCCTCGGGGTTGTTTGTTTTGCCTTTTTGTTTTATTTGTACTTTATTATTAATAAAACCCAATTATTGTTTGCACTTGAGTCCTCGCCTCATCCTTCCCGAACCTTGACAAGTAGAGTCCTAACATTTAAACTATTTATAATATTTAAAGTGGCTGACAATAATAAATATTCTTAATAATAGTAATTAATTTGCCATGTTTTTGAACTGTGCAGAGCTGTAGCTTAAATTGGTCTACTACGCTACTGTATTTCAAAACTACTCATTGTGGTGGTTTTTTCAGAGGTGGTACTTGATAAAAAAAAAGTTGAGAACCACTGACTTAATGTATGAATCAAATTGAAAGTTTTTTGCTCATGTAGTAAACATTAATAAATGGTTATCTCGTCATGAGATACACATTGTCTGTGCATTATTTAAGCATTAATTAATGCATGTTAGTGCAGCCATATTATAAAGGGCTATCAAAATATACATGTATTCCCTAATATTGTTAAGTGTAGCAGATATGAAAAGTAGTATGTCACATGGTATATATGAATTACATGTTTTTCATTTCTAGAATTACACGACATGTTTATTAAATTTACCTGATGTGTTCATCAGTGTGCCTGTATTCTCCTTTAAAGTTCTAAGAAAGCCCATGTTTAAATTTCCTGATTAAGATTACATTTTGTATTGCACATGGGATGGGAGAGAGGTGAGTTTCTGCAAAACCTGTCAACATTGGGATGCGAAAATAAGGGATATGCACCCCCTCCCCATTCCCAGCAGGGGTTCAGGATTTGGCGAGGACCGGAATTGAGAACCACAGCCTGTGGTTGAATCTGAGTGAATCTGCAGCATACACTTCAGACCATGGGCTATTGCACTTAGAATAAAATTAAATCCTTCAATTAAATTTGCATTAAAATAGATCCCAGATAGATTTTCATTCAGTTCTGCAGTGTTTTGTGTACTGCAGAGTACCTATGTATTATTTCCCTGTGCACAAGCTGTATAGAGCTGAAATGATAATTAAGTCTCCTTGACTCTGACTCTAAAGGCCAGGACACACTAAGTCGACGGTCAGTCATTGGGCAGCATCATGCCTTTGGTGAGCATCTGCCAATATAATTTGTTTGGTGTGTTGCATTCATGGCCTCTCATTTGGCTGTTGTCAGAGATTGCTTGTTCAGTTCAGAATTTAGAGCAATCTGATTGGCTGTTCATCTATGAATCAGAGTACATAAAAACCCTGAAGCGACGAATCTAAGCAAACAACATCAAGAAGAAACACAAAGAAGCAGACTGTCATTTTGTTGCATTTCTTAAATATTTTGCAAACAATATGGACTATCAGATTATTAGACATATTTGTAGATTGAATCTCTCTGTAGTGCGTAAGAACCACTGTGAAAATAGTATCACACTGCTTTGTTTAGGCTTGGTATGTGTGTAGCACTAGTTCTGGCAGTCATTGAGTTGTATTTTATGAATAGCAAGGACCAGATATTTTCAGCTTAAGTCCACCTACATCTTGCATAGCCTAAGAATGAATAAATTAACTCCAAATTTTCAGTGTAGGCTGAATAAACTAGGGGGGTCTGGATGCAAAGTTGCAAAGGTAAAGTTGCAAGCTGAGCTGCATGCAAAGCTTTAAATATGCACACACACCATAACCCTACACTATTGAGTATTGTGTCTGACATTGCATGTCTGAGATATGCACTCTCAGCTTATAAATGCAAGTCTGCATCCAGATTGGAACAAAAAGCACAGCATACCTGAAAGACAAACTGTTTAAATAACTCCCCCTCTACTCTTCATAATCATACATGTTTCTTTTTAATGTTTTTAAAACATCATGTATCAAACATCACTGTCAAATAAAGGTGTTTTTTTTTAACAATTTCCCAATCAATAGAGATTAAAGCAGCTCCTAAAGCAGATGCCCAAATTTCTGAATCTGCGTAGAGATGATCTACTGCTGTTTTCTTTCTTGTGCTTCAGGAAGATCTTCTGCTCCGGCTGGACAGAGGACTCTCTCCATAGGAAAAGCTTCCCTGTCGAACACCATCAGTCCATATTGACCCTCGGGATTATCCTCGCACTGGATGGGAATCTGAAAGACCCATACAAGCATTTGTGGAGCTGTGTTGTCTATAATAATCTTCAAATTGTTTAAAATAAATAACTTAAATGTGTGTTTGAATGATTTACTCGAGCTTGACTTGAATTTTCATCAGCAATGTTTTCATCCAACCCGGAAGTGCGTTTGCAACAAGCGTTACCCTTTTTTTAAACATGAAAAACATTATTACTATCTTATTACAACTTTCATTTACATATTACCATGTTAAAGAGAAGCACAATTTAAAGTATATAGAAGTGCAATTTTGTGTACTAGCGTACATGTAGTATATGATAGCCAGAAGTTTCTAAAACACTAGCGCTAGCATTAGATTAGCTAGATTAGCCTCACCATTGTGTTAATGCTGTTCCAAAATTTGCCAAGTTGTCTAATAAAATTGTTAAATACAAAGATTTAATGAAGATTTTATGTTGAATCTGTGTTTTCTTTTGTTGATTGTCTTTCATTGATCGATCCTTCCGGGTTATTACGGCGCACGTGACTAAATGAGATCCAATAAACATCAAGCGTTTCTACATCTTATAGCACTAATATTTGCTAAAATAATAAAAGGAAAAACTTTACATTTACCTAAAAAGGGTAAACTAAATTGTGTGAGACTGATAATGGCAGCCAGAAGAGAGAACAATGTCAAGTTTACTGCGCCACTTATGCACACTGTTACCAACAGCTCACATAAAGAGCAGCTACGTTTCATATAATTTTATGCTAAGATGATGTAATACAACGTATAGCTTTGTAATGTACATCTTTTTAAAAAATAAGACCTACATATTAAAAACTTATTAAGAATTTAAGATGCTGGTGACTGTAATGTGTTATTACCAACATGTAAAAAGGGTCTATAGTATGTGAACGTAAATAAACAAAATCACAAATTGAGTTCAAACCTCCACATTTTAGCAAAAGAACTTGATGATTTAATATTTTTATCAACGACTGTATCAAACATCAGAAAGCAGCAAATGTGCACTGCATAAATGCGATGAAAAATAATGATTAAAAAACTATTAAAAAAAATATAATGATAAAATGATAAAAATAAATAACAGAAAACCAACAAAAAAGTAACAAGCATTTTTGGGCTTACTCTATATTACAGTCAGAGTTTGATTGTATTACACTACGTTTACCGCAGTACAAGTTTGGTAAAACATCATCTCAATTAAATGCAACAGTCAAGCAGTCAAGAGTAACAATTAAAGTAATTATTGTGTTGAATGCTCATGCAGTTTTAATATTTTACTTGATTTTAAAAAGATCATCAAACATTTTCCCTTTAGGTACCTTATTAAGGGAAAACATCATTCACTATGAGATGGACATTAATATTTGGAACTATTAAATTCTCTTCCTGGTTTAAGGTTTACTGTCTTTTTTAATAAGTTCAACCATTTTGTCTAAGCAAATGCATGAACTAAAACCAAAGTTATTTAACATTTATGTGTTTTTCATAGAAACAATTTAATACTAATACTTCTGTTTGTTTATTATTGATGTCTTCTGATTCTAAATCTCAGTTTATATGTTAGTTTGATTTACTTTCAAGTAAAACACATTAAAAAACTTAAAATAACTTGCCTTCAAAAGTTGTTTATTCCTGTTGTCTCTTCTGGAGTTGAAAGTAATAGTCCATGTGGTTTATTTTATTTTGAGTTCATATATTCCAGTTGTAAAAACAAACTAAATTAAATAAAACCTTGTCCATGAAATTATCCTTTATTATTAGCATATCGGACATTCTTAAAGAAACCTCTGACCGTTACTGGCTGAGTTGAATGTCACTAAATCTAATCAACAGTTTGCACGCAGAGGCGTGTATTTGTTCATTTATGATAAGAAAGCAGGAAACCAGGCCTGCTCAGAACTAATATATCTCCTGCTAATCAGATAATTCAACAATAAAAATCATTATCTCCAAAGCACAAACACGGAAACTGAGCAGTCATCAAGTCTTAATTTCCGGTCTACAATCAATGTATAATAATAATAAAAAAAGTCAAACTACTTTAGCTTAAATATTTAATATTTACTTTCACCTTATTAAAAATCTGAAACTGAAAATGGATTGTTATCTACTGCTTTATTTGTATGGCTTTCTTTAGACCTCCTGTTAAATTTAAGTAAGGAATGCATTATTTTAGTTAAAAAAACCTTATATTAAAAAATGTGTTTTATTGAAACATGATGCAAATTTCTTATCATATTTTACTTTTCACAATTCAATCAGGATTTAGGGAATTTCATAGAACTGACATACAAGGGTTGAACAATGATCATGAGAATGATCAGCGAAACTATTAAGAACAGGGCAAGGCAGTGGCGCAGTAGGTAGTGCTGTCGCCTCACAGCAAGAAGGTCGCTGGGTCAAACCTCAGCTCAGTTGGTGTTTCTGTGTGGAGTTTGCATGTTCTCCCTGCCTTCGTGTGGGTTTCCTCCGGGTGCTCCGGTTTCCCCCAAAGTCCAAAGACATGTGGTACAGGTACAGGTGAATTGGGTGGGATAAATTGTCCGTAGTGTATGAGTGTGTGTGTGAATGTGTGTGTGGATGATTCTCAGAGATGAGTTGTGGCTGGAAGGGCATCCGCTGCTTAAAAACTTGCTGGATAAGTTGGCGGTTCATTCCGCTGTGGCGACCCCGAAATAATAAAGGGACTAAACCGACAAGAAAATGAATGAATGAAACTATTAAGAACCGCTACCTTCTGCCATCCATGTGCAACACATAGTCTTCAGGTGAAATTCCATTTGTCATTCTATTCCTCAGTGAAGGTTGGAGACAAAGACTCCTATGGGACATCTTATCGACAAGAAACATTGCAGATAAAAAAAGGAGGATGAGCCCATCTTTTCCCATCACGTACAACACATTTCAAAATTCCCTCCAGATTAAATATACTATTAGAACCCACAACTTGGGTAGCGCAGTGCAGTGGATAGCACGTTCGCCTCACAGCAAGAAGGTCACTGGTTCAAGCCTCGGCTGGGTCAGTTGGCATTTCGTGGAGTTTGCATGTTTTCCCCCTGTTCCCATGGGTTTCCTCCGGGTGCTCCAAACAACTCCAAACAAATGTGCTATAGGTGAATTGGGTAAGCTAAATTGTCTATAGTGTATGTGTGTGAATGAGAGTGGATGGGTGTTTCCCAGTGATGGGTTACAGCTGGAAGGGCATCCACTGCATAAAACATATGCTGGATAAGTTGGCAGTTCATTCCGCTGTGGCGACCACAGATTAATAAAGGGACTAAGGGACAGTAGTTAGTGCTGTCGCCTCACAGCAAGAAGGTCGCTGGGTCGCTGGTTCGATCCTCGGCTCAGTTGGTGTTTCTGTGTGGAGTTTGCATGTTCTCCCTGCCTTCGCGTGGGTTTCCTCTGGGTGCTCCGGTTTCCCCCACAAAGACATGTGGTACAGGTGAATTGGGAAGGCTAAATTGTCTGTAGTGTATGAGTGTGTGTGTGAATGTTTCCCAGAGATGGGTTGTGGCTGGAAGGGCATCCGCTGCGTAAAAACTTGCTGGGTAAGTTGGCGGTTCATTCCGCTGTGGCGACCCCGGATTAATAAAGAGACTTTATTAATGAAATGAATGAATGAATGTTCTGTTCTATAGCGAAAGTAGTTAAAATATCATATGTTTGCCCCAATGACTAAAAAATATGGACAACATGACAGCACCTTTTCCCATTGAATGCTTTGAAGACAAAATGCTTCAAGACAGGCACAAACTGTTGAAACTGCTGAAGTTAGAGGGTGGGCATGCGCAGAAGGACTGCCTGATGGAGCCAGAGGTGGAGCTGCGAAATCAAGCTTCCAACCAAATGCCAAATTTTACGTCAAATTAACCACGTCCTCTGAACTTCTTATTTGACCACCTGTATCTGCACTGTAAGGCTCGCTAACATAAATATAAGCACTTGCATTTAAAAAACTTGTAATAATATACAATTTATTAAAACTGTGTGATGAAAGCTGTTGTAATTATATAAAACAATATATGATGGAATGCAAAATAATCAATCATTTATACGCTCTCGACTGAGTTAGACTCAGCTATGAGAACAAAAAAAATCTCTTATAACAGGTTGTTGGTATTTGTTATCTTCATAGGGCTAAAAATATCACTTGTAAAATATAAACAATAACATATAAATGCAGGATAAATTATGCGTTTAAAAGATAAATACAGCAAGACCTCTTAATATCAACAGGATATTTAAATATACCATCCTTGCACTATATAAAATAGTCCATATCAGTTTGTACAATAAACTTAGCAGTATTAATACATCAACTGATGTCTGTCAGCTGCTGCTACATTGCTTGTATATTTATTAAATTTTTTGCCTCCATTTTTATTTGGTTTATTCGATGCCTTAATATCTGCCCACGAGTAATTAACATTTATTTTAATGTTTATTAGGTGTTTTTAAATAAAAAGCCAACGTTAAATTATGTATATAAAACATTTACAGCTCCATTTGTTATGTAAGATTCGGTTTCTGGAACATTAATATTTTATAACAGCAAATTCAGTTAATTAAAACTCAAAATGTCAGAGATGTCCTTTAAAGACCCCTATTTTGCATTTTAAAAGGTCATATTTTGGTTTTAGGTTTTTTTTAGGGTTTTTAACAACATTTTTTTGCGTGCAAGGTCAAAGAACACTTTCATTGTCTTATAATATGTGTTTATTTTTACCTAATTATCCCAGCAACTTTTGTTACCAAACCCCTCCTTAGCGTGAAGCTAATCTGCGGTGATTGGTCCGATAACCCAGTCTGACAGAGAGAAATGCCCACCACGGCTACGAAATAGCAGCCAGAGAGTTTGTAAGAGCCCAATGCAGGAATGCAATAAAGCAATGCAGTTAAACACCTGCATATTGCGGCTTTACTTCAACCCTAATTAAACACAGCTGATCCAACTAATCAAGGTGTTCAAGACACTTTTGAAAAAAGGAACCAAATCTCAAATGATTTTGAGGCCCACAACAAGGTTATATAGCAGTGCAATTTTTCCCACCAACCGAATTGATTGACAGGCGGCAATTAACATGCCTTCGAAGTAATGCATACACGTCCACAATACAGGATTTGCAAAGAAACTGAGAAAAAAGATCTGTTCCCACTCTCTGTGATCAGCTGCACCTCAAGAATGAGTTTTACATGTTTATAAAATTTTTTAAACCATGCATGTTTGTAATAAAGAAAAGGCCATAAAGTTTCACAGTAATTGACCGTATGACCGTAAAGTTCCACTCTGCTGAGTAAGGGGAAGCTGCAGGCCCGAAGACCCAACTGCATGCTCAGACCTGCGCGCACAGACCTGTACTTCCAGACCAGACAGTGTCCCCTGCTGTTGGGTTGGGTGAAGCGGCAGGTACGGAGACCCAACTGCACACTCAGACCAGCACTTTCTAGCAAGTAGCAACATCAGAAACGCCAGTAAGGTTATTGATTATTAAAGCGATTCCTGAAAATTACCAAGTTTTATGACATAAATCAATGTGGTGTAAAATATTACACTAACAAAGAATTATTTCAGTGTTTGATTTGATCAAAATTAGTGTCAAAAGAGCATTATTTTATGGTATTTACAGCTTGCTCTTATTTTCTCTATTTTTGTACCATTCTGGGACAATTTTCTAGCAATGTTTTCTGGCAAAATAAAAAAAAACTTTAAAGTAAAAAAGTTTAAATAAAATGCAGCCTATAATAT